GCCCGTACCCGAGGACGGCTCCATAAATGCCAAGGCAATGTAGACCGCAACCACAATGTGAACGGATAGTACAGCTGTGAACCCACAAAACAATGTCTTATGCTCTGGAGACAACCCTCTAATGACTGCTCAACAAACACGGCACACCCACACCCACACACACCCACACCCACCCACCCACCCACACACACACACACACACACACACACACACACACACACACACACAATTGTGTTTCAGTTGGCATCAAACAAGTTATATTTCTTACCCAATTTTCAAATCTCCTCCATTTCTACCTCTTCATTTTTTGTCCCCCCAAAAATCCACTTTTTCAAACAGACATATACACACGCTCGCACACACAAAAATGAGTCATGAAAGACTGACGAAGCAGTCTCGCATAGTCTCATGCATGCTTATTAGGTGGAGTTGTGCATACATAGCAAACATGACAACACACAGCGTGGCCTTGCTAAGCTCTCCATTCAGGCAGATAGATGTGTCTACCCAGGCCACATAGTAACCGCCGATTGGCACACACCCATATAACCATGGCAACCAGACCAGAGTTCGAATCCTGCTGGGAGACGATGCAAGTACACACCCAGCGCGCGCGGCCGAACAGTACAACCATGTCATGCAAGTCCACACGCAGCCCACGAGCCCGAATCGTACAACCATGTAACACAAAATAACGGTTATTGTGAATATATTCAATATTCCAATAAGATCTGTTATCAATTCAATAATAGTAGAAATAGTTTTTTGGGTATATACTATATATTCCTACCAAATAAATCATCATATCATGAATTTTCAGACAGTTGGCAAACGTATTCAAGTTACGAGTCCTGCTGGATCAGAAGTGTCCCATAACTCTGAATTACCGAGGGCTACTGGTAGTCAGTGCTTGATGATGGTGACACCTCCTTTTTTTTTTTCTTTTTTTTTTGATGATGATGACACCTCAAGGCCATTGCCCATTTTAATATTTGAAGAGGGGGGGGGGAACACAAAAACAAAGGCCAAAAGCACATCCAATAGGACAAGATGAACCTGCCTGAAATTTGCCCAGATCCATGCTAACATTGTCGCAGATCTCATCCCCCTTGGAATGGAAATGATCTCAATATCTGTTTACTATCAGTTATAAGTGTGTTTACCATCTAGCCACATGGAAATCAGGCCACTTTTTTTTCCCATTTGGCCACATAGTACTGAGCCCAGCCCACATAGAATCACACCCAATCGACAGAGCACCACAGCTCCAAGGCAGATGGCAACCAGCTCACACCGACTGCACGTAGCACCACCTAGTACACCGAGCCCACATATACTATCACCCACTACACAGCACCCGGCTCAAAAAGTACCGTGCCGACTGCATATACCACCCGGCCCACATAGCATGATCCCCCACACGATGGATGAAGAACACAGATCAGCAAGCCTGCCGAGTACAAACCACTGTGCATAGTACCATCTAGGGCACATAGTAGCTTACGCCTACATAGCATCCTAGATCTATGTAACAGACAGTTCTATGTACCAGCCATTTCTACATAAAAAGTGTGTACCATTCACCGCGGCCTTCAGCCTTCCATTCCCCTGAGTTCTGTGCCCCCTGTGCCCACTTTCTCTCTCGTCGGCAGAGCCACTCACTTCAGGCAAACTAACCTGATAGGCTCAGAAGAAGAGTCGCCTCTCGTCAGACATGCTCTTTTATGGTAAGGGCGACTTTCGCAGTTCTGCCCAACTGCTGTAACTGCAAATATACCCCCGTGCACCGATATGCAGTGGCGGAATTGCGAAAGTGTCCCTTACTGTTACGCGCTCAAGCTACCGCAGTCCTCAGCCTCTGATTAAACCAATTCCGGATGACTGGGCCATCGCACACGCAAGCATGCATGTATTTTCATGGTTGGCTCCTATGACGACGGTTACAGGGCAAAGCTGGGGTGCGTCTGTACATTTTCGGTACACTAAGACCGCAGCCCATGCCACAGTCTGTGCTCGGCGCGTGCATCCCTTGCAGTATTGTTGCGCTTCAACCCATGCCTTTCGTGTCTATCCAATTACCTTCCATGTCTGCCCTTGCAGTAATGTCCGTCTTTTGTCTTTTTCACGGTTTTAGGAGAACGCCTGTTTTTCACGGTGGGTACCATGGTGTTCAGGGGCGTACCTGTCTTTTCAGGGTTAGTGCTGAGGTATCGAGGGGCGTACCTGTCTTTTTTTCAGGGTTACAGTAGTACCGAGGTATCAGGGGGCATGCCTGGCTTTTCATGAATGGTGGCAGGGTGCACAGGGGTATGAGTGTCCCTTTGGAGTTGGTACGGGCTCGTCTAGGCTGTCCTTTCCTTAATTGCCCCTTTCTCTACTTGGAAAGAAGCAGAGGTAGCATGGCATGTCCAGCCGGATTAACCGTCCGGGCTATCCGGCAGGAACATATGGTGCGAAAAGTTTATCCGTAATTTCCGGATAATAAAAAATAAAAATAAAAATCTTTTTTTTTTTTTACTCTCCAGATCTGATAGGAATTTTGAAATGCCCTCCAGCCAAAAGTTGTTTGTATTGTTATAATCTACAACATTCTTTTTTTCAGATTTTTTTGGGATGTTTCGATTTTTTGGAAAAGTACCCTTTTTTGACCGTCCGGATATACTTAATCCGGTTTCATCCGGGCAGTACTGTCCGGCCTGTAAATCCGGATAAAACAAGGATGCCCCGATATCCGGATTTGCTAAGAAGGCACCATCCGTCCTCTCCAAATGGGAGACAACCTTGAACTCTTGATGACGGCCGCCCTGGCACTCTCTAAGGGCCTACTCCCCACTAGAAACTTCTCGAGTGAATTTGGTCCGGTAATTGCAGTCAGAGACAACCATGAAGGTCCTAGTGTGTGAGCCAGCGATCCCCAAGGCAAGAGTCTATCAGTGCCCACACAATAGCAAGAGTTTAGGATTTCAATTCCCCGAGTATCTTTCGCATTAGTGTCCCATTTAATTTAGTATGAAGTTGTGAACTATGTAATAGCATCAATATCAAGGGCGTCTATTCTTAAACAGCGCTCGTTTGCTAAGGGCCTACCCCACATTAGCGCTTCCTAGACCGAACTTTGTCAGTAATTATGGTCAGCTACATTCGGAAAAAAACTCGTAATTTTGAGTAAACCCTCCTTATGTACACTTCATGACAGGACAAACCATACCAAGGGTTTAGCGATTCAACTCTCAGGGTGTCTAAAATAGAACTGACCAGTGACCAGTACCTTGATTAATGGCATTCAAGGAAGGAGAGGAGGAGAGGAGGAGAGGAGGAGAGGAGGAGAGGAAAGAGAAGGAGAGGAAGGGGAGGAAGGGGAGGAAGGAGAGGAGCAGAGGAGCAGAGGAGAAGAGGAGGAGACGAGGAGAGGAGGAGGAGAGGAGGAGGAGAGGAGGAGGAGGACGAGAAGAGGAGGAGGAGGACGAGAGGAGGAGGAGGAGGAGGAGGAGGAGGAGGAGAGGAGGAGGGCAAGGAAGGGAAAATCAGCCAACTTCACAAATGTTAACTTACAGTCTAGAGCTTCGATCCTGAAGAGGTAGAGGACACTCAAAGGTGCAGCCCACATGAACATTGAAGTCAGGAGAAACTTCTTGACAACGAAAGCCGTGCTGACCTCCATCGCTGCAGCCAAATAGACGATAAGAGAAACGAAACAAAACAAAACAAAACGAAAAGCAAGGAAAAAGCAAAAACAGACAACTTTAAACAAGTTAAGAAAACATCAAAAAAAAAAAAAGAGCGCAAGAAAAAGAGAAAAAAAAGAAGATGTAGTAGAAACTCGATCAATCGTTAAACATACCCACAAACTGCAACGACGGCCATTTCGAGTTTCGACTCCTCTCCCTAACACACACCAACAAACTGCTGAAGTTAACTTTTTTTTTTTTTTTTGTTTGTTTGTTTGTTTGTTTGCGGTGTTGCCCTTTCCGAGAGGTCAACGGAACGCCAGCTGCTGTCTTCCCCTGAATAGAACGTGTGGTCATTATCGCTGTATCTGGACTGAAATTTTCTCCAAATACAGCTATAATGAACTCGGGGGACGACCGTAGACAAAAGGAGAGAGAGGAGCACAAGCTCTTGTACATCCAGAGGCAGAACAGCAGGCAGTATGCATAATCGATCAAGTGCAGGGGGGGGGGGGGGGGGGG